CGGTGCTACGGGTGCGCGTGCAGTGACATGGTGGCCCATCGTGGCGGCGATGGCAGAGTTTTTCAAGAGAATCCGCGTCGCGGAGAAGGATGAGACTGAGATGTTCGTTGATGGCGCAGGCCGGGTGTCCAGCGGGTGTCTACGGCGTGCATTGGCAGCTTCTCCTCGCGAGTTCGGTAGTTGGATGGAGACGACTTCGGCCGCGGGGAAATTCCACGAGGGCATCCAGGGTGGCCCGCTGGCGCCTATGAAGGTCGAGCTGGACGACGCCAAGCTCACGCACCCAGCGGATGTGATTGACCGCGAGGCGGCCGAGTGGCGCAAGTTCTGGCGTCCCACCCGTGACGATTTCAGCGAGGTTTGTGAATGTTTTCGACAGGCAAAGGAGCGTGCCCAGCTTGGGATTCTTTCAGATATCACAGGTGAGATGTTGCGAGCGGCTGCCCATCGCACGCGGCCGCGAGCTGGAATGGGAGCTGATCAGATGTCGACCTGCTGCCTTGGACGAACTGGCTCAATTGTATATGGCATGCGAGGAGCATGTGGCGTGGCCCCATCATGTGCCGGTGATTCTAGGCAGGCTGCTCCTGGAGAAAGGGGGCGGCGATCGCGCTGTCGGCTTGCTGGCAGTGTTCGCCAGGATCTGGCCGCTCATCCGCGAGTCCATCGTGGGCGGCTGGAGCGAGGCGACGGCGGCCCGCCGGGGCGCGGCGGCGCAGGGCAACGTGGCCTTGATATAAGCTTTCGTGGGGACTCTCCAGGAGGAGTTTGGGCAGGTGCTGAGTGTTCCATCGGGCCATGGGCAATTTGATATCGAGGCTTCTCATAGCGCTATCCGTTGGCAAGTGCTCCTGTCGAATGGATAGAGGTTGGGGTTCTCAACGTTGCAGTGTATGTCAGTGAGCACGTTGGGCCAGCGAGGCGCGTGGGCGTTGCGTCTCATTCCAGCTCGATCGACCGTGCAGGGCCTCCGCTCAGGCACGCGTTTCGCGCGGATTGTTGTGCATTTCGCTTTGCAGCGCATCTGCGTACCCCGCCCGCAGGTCGGGCGCAGAACGTGGGTCGATGACCTTTCGCAGTGGATGGTTGGATCCAGAGCTTTAAGTGTGGCCTTGTGCAATGTCTCGGGGGTGCTCGTCGGGGCCTCGCTAGATTGCATCTTCGCGTGGCGCGAAAGCATGTTGTGATGTGGTCGGTTTTCAAGGGCGCCGTCGAAGCGTCGAGGGCCTCGAGACGTGCAGGTTTCACGGTCGAGGCGCAGAGGGCCGCGGCATACCTAGGGATGGACGTTGGCAATGGAAGCGCGCGCGAGGGCCACTCGGGGGGCGCGCCTCCAGAAGTGCAGCAGGATGCGCGACGAGATGCGGATATATGCGGCGGCGGGGCGACGGCGCCGCGTCGCCTCCAAGCTGGATGGGGCTCGGAGCGCAGGCTGCTGGGTCCTGCGCCTACCAGATTCACTGGGTATTCGGCAGGTACCTCACCGCCTATCGGCGCAGGCTGGGAGCTGCGGTGGCGTCGGCAGCCAAGGGCAGGAGTCTCACCGCGCTCATCGGCTTGAAGACGCCTGCGGATCCCGCGCCGCGGCGTGCCTGAGGAGTGCGCGAGGTTGTGGTTCCGAAGGCGGCAGCAGCGGCCGTTGCTGAGAGCGGGCGGGGGTGCATGCGGCGTGGGATGCGGTGGTCGCTCACCTCGGGCAGGTTGAGCCGAGCCATCGCTCGCGCCGCATTCGCGGACCGTTGTCGGCGATAGTGGTGCTCCTGCTGGACCGCGGCCGGGGCCCGCAGTCCGCCATCTGCTGGGCCATGCCGCCCGCGGGGTCAGGCGATGTCATCGAGTGGCAGTTCCCTGACGCGGCGTGCGCGGGCTTCGTGGGCGTCGACGCGCCAGCGGGGCTTGTGAGCGATTTGATGAGGTCAATTTCGGTGAGGATATGGGGGGATGCCAGCGAGCATTATTGCGGTGTGGGGGCTGGCGTGGTGTTGACGTGGCATCGTTGCGCAAGTTCTACCGGCAGTTCTCCAACATCCCGCAGGGCAGCCGCGTGGCGGAGGTGCTCAGCATGGTCGTCACGGGTGGCAGTTCGCCGAGAGATCGGCGAGTTGACGCAGCAGGGGCCGAGGCGTCGGGCCTGTCGCGCCCCTGCCTGAGGCGTGGGCAGGAGGCCGAGATCATGTCCCATCGGGACTGGATCTGCCCCGGGAACGTGGGGTCGCCATTGTGCGATGGCTCGCGGGACTTGCTCCCGCAGGCTTGCAGTGGGCACGCTAGTGAGCGGCGGTATTGGTTGCGGGGGTTGCTGCCGGCCAGGTGGGCCGAGGTGGCGCCGCCGCAAGAGCGTGAAGGATGGCGCGTGTCGGGCGTAGCGGCAGGTAGTCCCGAGGGTCTCTCGTTCTGGCACGGCACCGAGCAGCGGCCATGCCAGTGGCGGCGCCGACTCGGCCGACGGCAGGTTCGGACGCGCGGGCCTGGCGGTCGTCAGCGCGAGCTGTTTCGACCCCCTTGTCCTCGACGGGGTGGCGTCGGCGGGCCTTCCTGTGGCGCGGCAGAGTGTTCCCAGGGGGGGGCTGTTCGCGCTGCTCGTTGCCGTCGAGATGTCCAGCGGGTGCATGCACTTCGTCGCGGACAACAGTGGAGTTGCAGACGGCTGGTGCTCGCGAGTGTACGCGTCTCCCAGCGGGGAGGATGCCGATCTGTGGCACCAGATCGGAGTGGCTCTGGTTGGATGCAGTCAGGCTGAGTTTGTTGTGCCGTTTGTGAATTCGCATTTGTCACCGACACAGATGACTCAAGGAGTTGCGCCGTGGCAGTTGATTGTTGGCAACGAGGCAGTGGGCGAAATGGCAGCAGATGCGGCACGCCGAGGCAGGCTTGTCGAGACTGAGAGATATCGTGTACACAGGCTCGAGGTAAAGGTGTATCAGATAAGGTTGGTATAATTTGCTGAACTTGAAGTTGTCTTCTCCACTGCTCGCGCAAACATCCCACCCACCCACCCGCAACTTGGTTTGCAAAACCTGTTAAGACCGACTACGACGACACCGACGACAACGACTAGGACGACACCGACGACGTCTCCGACGACTTCGACGACGACAACGACGCTGACGCCGACGACGACGAAGACGACGACGACGACGCCAACGAAGGCGACGACGAGGAAGGAGGAAGGACGACGACGGCGACAGCGACGATAACGACGAAAGAGGAGGGAGGACGGTGACGACGCGAACGACGACGAAGGAGGAAGGACGGCGACGCCGACGACGACAACGACGAGGGAGGAGGGAAGACGACGACGACAACGACGACGACGACGGCGACGACATAGGAGGGACGACGATGAGACGCCGACGACGGACGACGACGACGACGTGGGAGGAGGAGGAAGGACGACCACGGCGACAACGACGATGGAAACGACCGCGACGCCAAAGAGGACGACGACGACAAACAGGAGAAAAGACAGAGGACGACGTAGGCGACGACGACGACGACGCGGGAGGAGTGAGGACGGCGACGACGACGACGACGACGCAAGAGCGCGCGCGCACGCTTTTGTTGAAAATCCGTGTTGCGAAACCTTGGGTTCTTGTAGGTTTTTTGGACGCACGATTTTGAAATCCTTCCGAAACCGATGGGTTTCGAAGGTTTTCGGCATACGTCCGCGACGACGCGCGCGTCTGCACTTCGTCCCATTTTTTGCAGAGGGTTCTCGCGACGGCACTCGCGCAAGGGCGTTCGACAGATTTCGACATGCGCGCGCGCGAAGCCCGTTTGGTAGCATTTTGTGAAAATCTTGAAAAAACTTATGGTTTTCTTAAGATTTCGCAAGAGCTCGCGCGGAAGTTTTTTTAGCAAACCAGTGTTGCGAAGCCATGTGTTTTTGTATGTTTTTCGGAAACTCGATTGCGAAATCCTTCCGGCACCGACGGTTTTTGAAGGATTTCGGCATGCGCGCGCGACGACGCGCGCGTGTGCACTTCGTCCCATTTTTTGCAAGGGATTCGTGAACAAATGTTATGTTAGAAAGAAAAATGTCTCCGCATAGTGTTATTTGACAGGGAACCGCAGGGGGGGGGATACCGGCTTGGCTGGGATGGTACGAATTCATATTTAGGATGGACAAGTGGTCAGAATCATATGTGATTTACAGCACGCGCGGGGGTCCCGATAAGTCCGGGGGGGGGTAGAATCTATTAGTTTTTTAGAAAGGAGAATTAATCGGAGCTACATTTGATGCTCTGGAGCCCGAGAGCGAACTGGTGCAAAAAGGCAGACCGTTGAGAGGAGGTGCGTGAACCACCGCCTCCCCCTGTCCCTTCTGTGTTCAGGCATGTTGCCATCGGCTACTTCCTCGATTATTCTGGCCAGCGCTGTAAGAATTGCTGTAGCTCTTCTTCCCATGCTGCGATGGCCCAGTGGATTTTCACCCATTGTTTTAGACCCGCCCCTGTCGATGGTAGGTTTTCTGCGTTGCCGTCGGGGGTTCAATTACTTGTGTGGTGGGGGGGGGGGCTGGGTACACAGTAGCCACATGATGCTTCTGCGCCAATCCTTGGGGCTCTGGTTTTGTTCACAGTGCGGGCATTATGTCAGTTGTTTCATCAGGAGCCTGGGTCAGGAATGTCTCAGGCGAACGAATGCGAATCGAGCTGAGTATTTAAATCGGATCGAGTCCGATCGATGGCCGAAGGCTTGAAGCAAGGCCGATATTCTCGCTCTTAAGCGTTCGTAGTTCGTATCGGCTCGCATCGTGACTGTTCTCACTCACTCAGTACGCCTCCTCCTCTTTCCTCCTCCTCAGCTCCTCCTCGTCTTCTTCGTCATCCTCGTCTTCCTCGTCTTTATCCTCCTCCTGCTCCTGCTCCTGCTCCTCCTCCTCCCCCTCCTCCTCCTCCTCCTCCTCCTGCGTCTGGCAACCTCCGACCCAAACCCTCCTCGCTGTTCCCTCAGGCCTGGCGACGTGGAGCGGTCGCCCCCCCCCCCCGCGCGGCCAG